ATATTTTTAGTATAATAGGTATTTTTTTAATATATTTTTTTCTTCTAAAATCAATACTAAGACGTGACGTTGTTTCTTTATAAATATATATTATTTATTTGATTAGGTTTTATTTAATTAGCATGTGTAAGAGTTACATGATTCCAGTAAATGTGCAAAAAATATACTCAAACTAGTAAAAATTTAACCAAATTATGATGGTGGGATTAATTAATTAATTTATTCATTATTATTATTAACAAGAGGCACATATAAAGTTATGATTACATTACAGATTGGGATTATAAGATTGAGCAAAAAGTAATACATATACTAGTAAAAGAAATCAATTTATGTTGGTTGAAAAAATAATTCCATCAACATTAACAATTTTTACATAATTGTAATTGGGATAGTTAACAAATGTTAAATTTAAATTAAGAAAAAAACATTATAACTAAATATTTGTAAATTGAAAAGTTGAATTCATCCATCAATGTTAAAAATACATTAATATTTAATTATAATGTTTTTTATATTTTGAAATTAATTAAACCCGAATCCATTCCTATCCAATGTACAGTTGGGAAATTAGAGACAAATTTGTTTTCATTAATTACTGTTGGACACGTAGAAAGTTGAGAAACAAATTATATGCTTTTTTTAGTCTATTTCACAAATTTCCAACTTCAAAAAAAAAATTATATATATATATATATTGCATTAAAATTTGCTTGTAAATGACTAAAGATTCATAAGTATATATTTATAATTTTGCATAATTAACTCAAGAAATTAAAAAATATAAAGTACTAAAAAAATATCCTCATTTTTTTTCTCATGTTGGGAAATTTTGTCAGGCTTGATATTTAAACATCATAATTAGCACATAAATAAATAAAAAAATCATAATTATGAGGCGATACACATTTAGATTGAATGGTTCCATGAGAATTTTGCTATTAGTGTTTACACAAATCCTAATTAATTAATGCTGAAATAAGAAAAATATCAAAACAGATCTGAACAGAATCACATATGTGGAAAGAATAAACCTGCAAGAAAAATCAACCTCTATTTATGGGTAATAAATTGCAGAACCAATTAAAACCTATTTCTTGGCATGAACTATGAAAAATCATATAATATTTACTACTACTTCCAAAATCAATGACAGTGATGGATTCTGTTTGGACCATTAAGATATTTTGTGCGATAATGAGATAAATTAAATGTAGTGATAAAAAAGTCATGAGAAAAATTACCTCTTTGGTATCATTAGAGTGAAAATGTACCAATGTGATAAGAAAGTTATGAGAAAATATTGTCTCTTTAATATAATTAGACTGTTATGTTAGTGTGTTATCTTATTAATAAGGTGTGATTTGTATAAGAAAAGTAAATTAAAAATATATAATAGAGATGTTCTGAATGTACGGAACATGTTATGCGACGAAGTAATGTAGATACAAGGATTAAGTTATATACGCGGTCAAAAATAAAAAATCAAAGTTTATAAAAAATATCCATCAAGTATAAATAAAATATATATTCATTAATTATTATATTTATCCCTTGAATTTTATTAACTTAAATGTTAGAATATTTTTTTGCAGATCGATATTACCAATTACTCGACGGTAAAATGAATAAAAAATTAGACTATAGTAAATGGTGCAGTGAGATTCTTGGTTTTACATAAAAAAAATTAATTAAGATGTGATTGTTACTGTTTAAGATAAGAAAAGGATAAAAAAAGAAAATGAATATGCGTGGACTCTGTGAAAAGAATACCTAAACCTAGAACAAAATCTCACACTTTTTTCCTTTTAAAACCGTCCTTATCTTCACTCCCACTCATCAACAACAAAGGACATTGTCAAATAAAAAAAAGGTTATTTTCTCTTTTTTTAATAAATAAATGTCCCCACTTTCTCATTAAAATTTAATTAATCAACTTTCGAAACTTTAATTAATCTGTCTTGTTTCCACCCAGTTTAAGCCTCTAAGACCTGTTTATCGAGATCTAGTTTTCTTTTTTTAATAACTGCTATCTCTTAGACTTCTTAACAGAATTCTCAGTAGTATTCGTTCAATAATATAAATGTTTCGTAGGGAATAAAACTTTAAAAATTATTTTTAATTTATTATAGTCTCAATGTACTTATCAGTCTCACCTCACTAACAATATCTATAAGAATTAATTCCAATAAGAATAATATCTAGCAAAATTAACTCCAACAACAAATCTATATGTGAACTTATTTTTAATCTACGATAATTATTGTAATTTATTATTGTTTTAATATATATTTATAACTTTCAAAAATTAAGATTAAAAAAAAGTTTTTAATATATTTTTTAAAAATCCACCGATATATTTTTAAAAAATAGATAACATTACACCCATGATCTTTATGATAAGAATTTTAGACACATTCATCTTTGTTTTAATTCTTTACAAATTTTACATTCATAATAAATCATCATAGTCTTAAATTTATATTTACTTTTATTTATGTATATGAATATTTTATTTATATTTTTCTGTATACGATAAATACCTTATTTTTATATTTACTTTTATTTATTTATTTATTCTTTTTGTTATAAAAAAGTTGTTTAATTCTTTGCCGGTAATACCCATAGTACTTTATACCTATAATATCTGTAAAAATAAAAGTCATAGATGAAAATCTTGGTAACAAGCTTGTACTTTTCTATCATTCTAAAATATTTTTTAAACCGAGAATAATATGATATTACGTAAAGTTTATAAACAAATTATTTTTTAAAAATAATAGTCTGACTGACCAATGAAAAAGATGTCAAAGAATCTTTCCTCGTTAAAACTTTAAGACGTTGAATCCACTGTTATATGTAATAAAAAAGAGCATAAGCTTTAATTTTTTTTTTAAATCTTCTTTAATTTAGAGTGAACGCGATTTTGATCATTATATTTTTTATTTAAATATTTATTCCTTTAAATTTGAAAAATACGATTTAAATCTTTCAAAATTTCCGTTTGAATTTAAATAAATCTATTATAAGTGAAACAAAAGTTGAAATGATATTTGTAAAAGTTAATGTTTTTTACATGGGATATATTAAAGGTTTAAAATGTTTAATTACAATTGTGTTTTGAATTAGATAGTTTGAGTGTTCCACTTTTTAATAGAGTGGTGAATGAAAACATATATTAAAGGTGGATGCCATTTTAAGTAGGAACGGCTTGGGTCCATTGAGAGTTGGTCCGACCTGAATCTCTCTGGCAGGTTCGGTTCAGTTTGAGTTAAATCTTTTGAGTGTATGAAACAAAAACAAAACAACTTTAAATTTAAGAGAAAAAGACATAACCCAAGTGGTCTTCTCCACACCCTTCATCATCCAATTCCCATGTCCTCTTCTCCTCACCATCCGTTTACCACCGTTGCATATAATGCTCCTTTGTCGTGTTCCTATTCCTTTTCTCAATCTGTACTTCTAAATCTTCTTTGCATCTTCTCACGATTTCATTTCATCTTCCATTTTTTTAACCTAATTTCAAGGAAAGCAGTACTAAGAAATTAACATTTTTCATTTTAGACTTCAAGTAAAAAAATAGTATGGTAAAGTGAAGTTTTCCTTATAAATGAAACAAACAATTCCTATTTATCTTCACTTTAATTCAATATATGTTTGGTTTTGCAACTTACTAAGTGCCCGCATAAAGTGGATTCAAATAGTGAATCTTTAAGTTTTGTTAAGAAATGGAATATTTGATACACGTTAAGATGTGATCTTCAAAAACATTTCACGTGGTATTTTGTTATTGTATTTTTTTTTCCCACTCTCTCAAAACTATCACGAGTTCGTCATTTAAAAACAATAGATGTCATAGATTAAATGAAAAACAGAATATTCTAGAAGATCACATGAAAGAACAAATAAATGAACATAATCGTGTAATAACAAAATACATTTAAATTTGACAAGATTTGGATTGTAAGAGGTATTGGGTTCTAATCTCTTTCCTAGATACAATGTCACGGAAAAGGCGAAGCCAAATAAATATAAGCATCAATTTTTATAATCAAAACTATTTTTTTAATAATATTTGAAAATTTTCTTGATTATTTATTTAACTATATAAATAGTTTATAAACAACATGCAATACTAAAATTTGAACTGAATTACATATAAGTTTTGTACTTTGAAATGTTATTAATACTAATCTTATAGTTTCACTTTATCGTATTATCAAAATAATCTACCGACAACATTTTCTTTTAATTTAACCTCATACACTGTTTTGTATTGTAATTAATCAGAAAAAAACTACGTGGATAACTTGTAAAGTAGATAAATTATAAACTAATTAACAAAGTTGCTGAAAAAACATGATGAAGTTACCATATATAACAGTTTATGATGTAGTATAGTTGTATATGTATTCTAATTAAAATTCATATTTATATATTTCAATAATAAAATAATAGTATTAATAACATTTATGGAATCGAACAATGTTTATCCCTCCTTAAAAACGGTATAGAGGAAAGCCGAAAGCTTACAATGTAGGAATTACAAATATGCGCATAACCTAACAAACAACATATTTAAAAAACCTTTTGATCCTCAAGTAGTTATTGTTAACATAAATTATAAATTATGAAAATGAAATAATTGTTACAAGGAAAAGACAGAGGAAGTAAATAGTTGTTGCAAAAAAGAGGTGCGTTAAGATGAAATTGTGGAGTGTTTGAGGTGAGGATAATGAATTTAATAATGAGGTGAAGAGTGATTTTGGAAAAGAGGAAATAGCAATAATATTTATTGAGAAGATGGGAGGAGCACCGTGAATCATTGATTGATTCCTCATATTTCTACTACACTTGGACTAACAACTAAGAGTCTAGTTGAGTCTTCTGTCTCAACCATGTCGCAGTTACAGACCATATAAAACCAACGTTTCGCTCACAAACCCAACCCATTCACATCACACTCACACTCACAACACATCTTTCTTTGCCTTTCCGCAATGAACTCCTCTTCGTTTTCGAGCTTCCGCGCCTACCTCCGCGCCCTCTCTCACACTCCCACGCGCCTCGCTCGACGCGCCCTCTCCGTTTCCACCTCCTACGACGAGATGAGCCAGGTCCGCGCCCGCTCCGGCACCAGCATGCGCAAGACCCTCCGCTGGTACGACCTCGTCTCCCTCGGCATCGGCGGAATGGTTGGCGCCGGCGTATTCGTCACCACCGGCCACGCCACCCGCCTCTACGCCGGCCCCGCCGTCCTCCTCTCCTACGCCATTGCCGGCTTCTGCGCCCTCCTCTCCGCCTTCTGCTACACCGAGTTCGCCGTCGACATGCCCGTCGCCGGCGGCGCCTTCAGCTACCTCCGCGTCACCTTCGGTCCGCCTTCTCACTTCCCCACACATTATTACACACTCCGAGACGCACGACACATTATTATTATTATTATTATTATTATTATTATTATTATTATTATTATTATTATTATTATTGTTATTAAGGTTAATGTTAATAATAATATTTTCTCACTAAATAAGAAAACATATATATAATTTATGTGTAGAGAGACCAATAGTTCTGAAACTATACTATTTTTTTGTTCCTCTCTCAACATTTTCTTTCTCACCTAACTCGACGACGTCGTTTTCGCAGGTGAATTCGCAGCTTTTATGACCGGCGCGAATCTCGTGGTGGACTACGTGCTGTCCAATGCCGCCGTTGCCCGAGGCTTCACGGCATACCTCGGCACCGCAATCGGAATCTCCTCCGCGAAATGGCGGCTCACTGTTCCGTCTCTTCCCCACGGCTTCAACGAAATAGACGTCGTCGCTGTCGCCGTCGTTTTGCTCATCACTCTCGTCATCTGCTACAGGTTCAAAGTCCCTACAACATTGAAGCTTCGTTCTCGGTCTCATGTCTATTATATTATAATGATTATTAACCGTTGATTTCATTTTCTGTGTTTTAGCACGAGAGAGAGTTCGGTGATGAACATGATCCTCACGGCGCTGCACATATTGTTCATAGCGTTCGTGATAATGGTAGGGTTCTGGAAAGGGAGTTGGAAGAATTTCACCGAACCCGCTAACCCGCAAAACCCCGGCGGATTCTTCCCGCACGGCGCTGCCGGCGTGTTCAAAGGTGCCGCCGCCGTTTACTTGAGTTACATCGGTTACGACGCCGTTTCGACCATGGCAGAGGAAGTGAGGGACCCGGTGAGGGATATTCCGGTTGGTGTGTCTGGTTCCGTCGTTATCGTTACGGTTCTCTATTGTCTCATGGCCGCATCGATGACCAAACTTCTCCCTTACGATATGGTGGGTTTATTTCCTCATTTATTTATTTTTTATGTTTTTTGGTTCCAGAAATATAAATAAATACTAGTATTCGTTCAAAATAATACACGAATTTACCATAAAATCTAATGTCTAATCAGTCCACTGTTATGGCAGACAAAAATTGTAGGTCAATGTAGAAGTGTCTGATGCTTTTGCTTTTGAAAATTAGTTTTAAATTGTTGAGAGATATTTGATCTAAATCGTAGTGAATAGTTACCAAACCGGTACGTAATGTAATTAGTCTGAGTATTAGATGTGTTTTCGCGGTTAAAAATTTGTTGCGAGGGATGGATGATGGAATTGCTAGTTACATGTACGGATAGATGTGATGATATGACATGATCTGATGACTTGAGTGCACGCAGATCAATGCAGAAGCGCCGTTTTCGGCGGCGTTCAGTGGGAAATCGGACGGTTGGGGATGGGTGTCTCGAGTGATAGGAGTGGGGGCCAGCTTCGGGATACTGACGTCGCTGTTGGTGGCGATGTTGGGTCAGGCTCGTTACATGTGCGTCATCGGTCGCTCTAATGTGGTCCCCTCATGGTTCGCTAGGGTCCACCCCGGGACCTCCACCCCTGTCAACGCCTCTGCTTTTCTTGGTATTTATTTACTTGCCTTCGTTTCTGTGTGCTATTAATATTTATTTATCGTATAAATATGTGATTAGTTCCATGATGTGATTTTGTTTTGTTATTATTTGTTGTCGTTGTTATTGATGTTTAACTTTTAGGTATTATTTTGAAAATCTATCTGCTGCTGTGTTGTTTCATGCTTGGCTTGGCACTTGGCAATGTTTGTTATGTGTGTGTGGTCTGTGTGTGAGTTATGTTATGGGTTCTGATTGTGTGATTTCGGAAAGAGGGGGAAGGGGACCCACTTTCAGCAATATTGTCTGTGGCTGAGGTGTGATCGAGGAAGTTCTGTAATGATAGAAGTGAATGGGTATGGTGATTCTTGACGCATTGTCGCGCGTTGACAATGGAGGGGATTGAGTTGGGCCTTATCTATACCATTGAAGTGGGTGGATTTTTTATGATCAATTAATAAATGCGTGTAGTTAAGGTTTTGTCTGGAGTTTGTTCACAAGTTCAATATCCCGTGAGAGAAGAAAATTGATGGATTGACCCTCATTTCACGTCTAGAGAAAATCTAAACACAAACACGCATAAGGTCTCTTCGAACCTACTTGATAGGAGTTGCAATTGCTCTGTAATTCTTGCATTCTGATTCTCAATAAAAGTCAATGCTGTGTGCACAGCAAGTGTGTAAATTGGCACTGTGCGAATAACACAGTAACACTTATGTTATGAAAGAAAAAGAGGAGTGTCAGATCCATTGCTTCGCATATATAATTGTGAAAAAACACCATAGTTTTGGCTTTTGTATCATTATTTTTATTTGAAACTGAAAGTGGGTAACGTACTCCAAAACAGTGCTTGTTAGAAAAGATTTTCCCATATGGGTGTCACATGTTCTCAAGCGCTGTGAGCCTCCTATAACGTGGTTTCCCATATTTTGTATAGTAATATATGGTCCCCCTCGTATGTTATGCGTGCCTATCCCGTCCCTTACACGGACTAGCTTGAAATCACGCGTTCCATGAGCAGTATCTTCACTGGATATGGATGGAAGGACTATGACAACTGTGTTTTGCAGTTTTGCTGTGTGGCTTAGAATGGAAAAATGTGAATCACTCACTCATGTAAAATAATAGGTTTCTATATGTGTCTCCCTTTTTTCCTTTACAACCCATTAGAAGAATAATAAAGCATTTCACATGGAAGATATTGGTGGTTTCTATTGATTCGACTCCCACTATTGGATGAGTAATATATTCCCTCTTGATTGGAATCATTGACTGATCATGACCTTAGCTCTTTATGTAGCTAGTTAAAGTTGCCCTCAATGATAGATTATTTGATTTGGATGATTTTATGCTTTGTGGTGCGTTTTGACTTCCCACCATCTCTTATCTAAAATTCTTTTCCCTCGCCCTATAGGCTATTTGAGTGGTAGCATGTAAACTGAAAAAATGATTTGTGCATATCTAGTGTCACATTTTTTCTCATGGTCGAACATTATTGCCTTTTCAGGGATCTTCACAGCAGCAATTGCCCTTTTCACTGATCTTGATGTCCTCCTCAATCTGGTGTCAATCGGAACCCTCTTTGTCTTTTACATGGTGGCAAATGCCGTGATCTATAGACGTTATGTGGCTACGGGGACAAGCAATCCATGGCCTACGTTGTCCTTTCTGTGCTCATTTTCCTTTACCGCAATCATGTTCACCCTTATTTGGAAATTTGTACCAACAGGAGGGGCGAAGGCAGGGATGCTGAGTGTCTCTGGTGTTATTGCGATTGCAATATTACAACTTTTCCATTGCATGGTCCCTCAAGTTCGAAAGCCAGAATTCTGGGGTGTCCCATTCATGCCGTGGATACCCTCCATATCAATCTTTCTGAATGTGTTTCTGTTGGGATCACTGGATGGGCCATCCTATATTCGGTTTGGATTCTTTTCCGCTGTTGCAGTGCTTTTCTATGTCTTTTACAGTGTCCATGCTAGCTTCGATGCTGAAGGAGATGGTTCTTTGGCTGAAAAAGTTGGAGGAGAAATCCACGTGGAATCTAAGGAAATTGAGGACCAAAGTTTCAAAGTGTAGATATATAATACATAACCCTTTGTTTATGTGTTTTTTCAATTTGAAAGTCAGAATCACTTCAACCTTTTTGGATGGTTGAGGGGCACTTGGAACAAGGGAACAAGGATGTGGGGAGGGAGAATTATGTGGATTACATATTATGTGTTAGAATATTAGAATAGGTTGCAACTTTTGTAGAACTGGCGAATTGTATAGTTAGACTGGCTTAGGTTGTGATTGATCCCTTTTGTAAATTCTCTGCCTTGAGTCCCCAAAACCAAAATCGAATAAAAAAAACTCCTTCTACTTCTAATAGCTGATCACAATTTCTGAAACATCATTCCTCACATTTATCTCGTTCTTCTTTTCTTGCTTTCTCCTTGTACTAAAAGAAAAAAAAAAGAAGAAGGAAAAAAAGGTACATGGACACCAAAACAACCACAGACTCTTTTTTCTAATAATAATAATAAAAGAACCTTAGATTTGTATGTTTACAAGTGTTGGTGAATGTTATTTCAGTCCTTTATTTTCTTTTAAATTTTTGTTTGTCCAAAATTTAAAAAACAGTGACTCTAAATTGTCTGGCTTATATCCCAAAACGAAAATGAAATGGGTTTGTGTATCATATACTCTGTTAATTCGCTGACTTGTATTTAGGATAGCAAAATGGATTGATCTACCTTACTTCTCTAACCGTGTTGGTCTCTTTAAAAGGCGCATTCACGTAGCAACGAATGATTTCGCAAATATTTTTTTTATACATGTTTATTTATTTATTATATATAAATAATTTTTCAATTTATATTTATTAATTAATATTTTTATTAGATAAATTAAAAAATTATAATATTTATATATTAAAATACCTAATTATATTTGGTTAATATATATAATTTAAATTATAATATTATAATATATAAAATAATATAATATTTTAATTATAATTTTTATTTATTTTAATTTTAATATATGAATATATATTAAAACAGATAAATTAACCAACCTATTATTATTCATAGATTAGATGAAACAAAATAAAATGAGTTAAAACGGTTAATCAATCCTATTATTTTCGACACAGATTACGGACGGATTTCTCATCTGAGACTTATTTTGTCATCTACTTTTATGTTTTAACAGTTAAACTTATTTTGTCACCTACTTCTATATTTTAACAACTAAAATATTGTCATCTACTTCTATGTTTTAACAACTAAACACAAGTATTTCCAGCATTGTCCTTTATCCATGCAGTAATAATATTATATAAATAAACTTTTAAAATATTTGAATTTTTGTATCAGAGATGTAAAGTAATTTAATCACTAGCTATGACGATGGGAACGAAAAACTATCGATTTTATATTTTAGAAAATACAAATCAAATAAATCTGTTCCAAGATAGAAAGAAACCTTAATGTTCTGATTTTATGAAGATGAAAAATATACTTAACACATAAAATAATCATGAGGGTATGTTTATTTGCATGCTAAGAACACTAGGCAATGACAAAGGGCCTATCTCAGAGGAAAAGGGCAATTAATATGACACAAAGTAGACATGATGTCACTATGAAAAGATAGAAATTGAAGGGGGTTTATAATGCTCCTATGTAATAATTGGGGGTGATTCATTCATCATTAACATAAACTTTGGAATTAATTAAAAATATGGAGAATCCAATGATTAATTTGCTGTAATTGTAATTTGATAAAGAAGAATCTGATTATGCCAAGTATGTTCATCTTGTGCTGTCACATCTTGTTGGTCATAGCATGCATTAGTAAATCCAACTTTCTTGTTAGTTGCATGGTAGATTTTTCATCTTTGGTTAAAGTTTTTTGTTTCCATTTCTTAAATTATATAAAGCACGTACTAACATATCTCTCTTAGATTCTGATCATGACTCTGGTTTTGTTACTTTTGATTCATGTATTTGATTTTTTTTTCAATAATGAATCATTTTTTTATTTTATAAAAATTATCTTAAAAAACAGTACTTCCAATAATTTATGATCGATAAGTAAAAGTGTTTTATATCGTTCCATTCTTCATTAAACTCACAAAATAATCTATAAAATGGCGACTTACTATTATTTGATGGTGAAGTTTTATTAATTTTAAATGTTATCATAATTTTGTTGAAAATTAACAAACATATTATTGTAGTAAAATGGTTAAATTATTAAACACAATCATTGAAAGAATATCTGATATGGAGAATATGTCATTCAAAACAAGATTACCGTCTGGGAATAATATGTTTTTTTTTCAACCTTTTAAAACTAATTTATTTATTTACAATCTACTGTTTCAACAAAAAATAATAATAATAACCGTGAGGATGTTTAGTTTATGGTGTAATATTGCATTGTTACATGTCAAGGTTCTAGAAATATGATGCTCAAAATACTGTTCTCCTAAATATTTTTAGTTGAAATTAAATAATTTAAAAAATGAAATCATCAAATACCATGATAATATTTTAAAATTTGATACTTTGAAATCATACTGTCTTAAATTTTATTTATTATTTCATACATTAGTATTTTGTTATATAAAATTTGATTAGATTTATAAAATTATGTTAGATATATATAATTTATTTAATTTTTATATGAATCAAATTAACTAGATTATGACCCAAGAGTTTAACCATTGTCTCAAACTTATTTGCATTTGATGTTCTGAGCAAGAATTGAAAGCGCCTATATTATTTTATGAAAAAAATACTCTTAAAGGAAAAAAAAATAGAAACTATTTAAGAATCAACATTTCAAAGAAATTTTTTATGTTTAAAATATTTTCATGAACGTAATATAAAAAAAAATTCTATTCCCACGTTATTTTTCCAAGAATATAAAAAAATCTTTCTTGCCAAAGGGCACCTGAAATCCCAGAAAAAAAAAAAAAAAAAAAGAAAAGAAAGTGTCATGTGAAGGACTGGTAGGCACTACTACAAGGCGAACACATAATATAATGCAACTCAAAAACAAAAGAAACCAAAAGTATAAACCAAATCATCTTTTGGACACATTTGTTGTGTTTTTGAACTTTCTGCTTTCCTAATCATATGTGACTTATTTTTCAACTAAACTAAATGGGTTTGTGGTATAAGTCAGAATCTTGCAGAATTAGCAGAATAAATAAGGAAGTTGAATGAGGGATGCATATCATTAATAAGATGATCTATTGGCTCCTCTGGGTTCGTTCATCAAAACATCCACTACAATTCTTGTGTCCAATTATTCCACATGCACCATCAATTTAATTAATTACATGAATTTGGCACCACTTATTGTTTCTTCCAAATCCATTTTTGGGTACCTTAAATATGAGGTTTCAGAGAAGCAATCAACCAGTAAACTTCAGCTATAACAGTTGAATTAAAAATAGTAATGAAGAAAAGTGTAACAGAAATCTACCTAAATCATGAAGGCCACGCCTTATCTAACTTTCTGATAGTGGTCTCTAATTGACAAAATAAGCATGTGGACAAAATATTATGGGCCAATATGTTGGCACCATGTTTTTCTTTTGTATCCCATTTGAACCATCTTTGTCTGATGCACCATTTGTTTTGCTCTATGTTGCACTGTCCCTTTTTATTCTTTTTTGGTCTTAATTACTTTTCCCTTCTCCCATCCTTGGTTTCCCTTTCCATGGTCCCATTTATCTGTGTTGGCGGTGGCATCTTCTTTTATTTTATGTTGAAGCTGCATGTCTGCTATTCCATCCCAATGTAACTTCAACAATGAAAAGGAACAAAGTTGAAAGATTCAAAGTGAGGAGGAGGATATAAATGAAATTAACCTGCATCAAAAGAATAGAGGACAATTCTAATACCCAAAGAGTAATCCACATCAATATTCCATTCATGTTGCATGCAATTGGAAGAGAGCAAGGGACTTTTTTATCTGATGTGTAACTGGAAGCTAGTGTTGTGTAGTTTGTAAAGACTCTTATCTTTGTTTTTTTGTTCCATTGGCATGTCAAGATTTTTCAATCGAACTTGTTACTTTATTTAAATAGTAAAACCTTTTTCTAGTAAAGTGACATGTATAATCGGACTTTACTTGAGTCAGCATCCTTGACTTAATGCTTCTCATCATTCTTTGTCGAGCATCTTTATTGTAAGAAGAGCTATATGAGATAAGATCGATGCTCATTTATATTATGTTGTTTTGGCTGAGTTTAGATAAACAGTGTTCAAAGAAGTGAAAGCAGCATATGAAACAGTAAACAATGGACATGGATTCTCATTTCCCATCACACTTGGCTGGTCGTTTCCACTACTTGGATTCTAATTAATGTCAAAAGGACAAAGTTCAACGCCGAAAGTCAGTTTTATAATGAACATATGAAAAGCAAACATTGTATTTTATAATTTCATCGGATATCCTATTGTCCATCACAGCACTCACTTTACTTCACTGTTTTTGTATGTTTACCCTTCACGTTCTACTTAACGTAATGTGTCTACTTCAAGTGATTTGATTTGGGTCATGGAAATAAATTCAATATGTTCCATTCCTATATCCTATATCCTGCAGTGCAGCATTTTCTCTTTCCTCTTCTTGTTTCTGTTGATTCTCCTACTCTACTTGTAATTTTTCTAAGTCCTTTTCTTTCTTTATTGCAAAAGACTTCCTTTTCTTTCTGCCCTCATGCAACATGTGAAGACAAAGTTGTCAAGTAGTAGGACCAACTGAAAAGATCTTATCAGAAAACCAATCACAGAATTATCTCACTTCAGATATATATATTCATTTCCCACTTCAACTTGCACCCTGTATTAATTTTTTGCATTTATGTAAAGTACATCCCCGAAAGAAGTATACAGAAAAAGGGGTTGAGAGAAAGAGATATGTATATATATATATATATATAGAGAGAGAGAGAGATCTTCTTATTCCTATGATGAGTTGGGTATCTGGTATTTGTTTTGTTTCTTTGCTTCAGCTTTTAGTTAGTTAAGATATGGTTGATGATATGAAAAGACTTTGTGATGAGTGTGAGCATTCAACCAAGTCCTAGCTATTCACTACTCACTTACTTCTCAGTGAGGGAGTTAAAGACTTGGGTCACTGACACAACAAGATGGGTTGGTTCAGTTGTCTACTCAACTATGTGAGGTCCACACACCACACTCCATTTTAATTCAAGTGCACACACACACACACACTTCTCTTTTTCCTCTTTTTATTTGTCACTTTCTCAACAAATTACGAAGCTATCGTGTCGTGTATCAATGGATATCAATGAGTGCATAAAATATGTGAATCATTGGCTAACCTTGATTTTTGAATATTTTTCTCTTCTTAATCAAATAGAAGAAATGGAGAATGTCAATGATGAGGTGAGATAAAATGTTTCTTAGGTACATTCTGAGTTTTATATTACATTTTGGTTTGATTTCTTTTCTCATAGTTTATGAATGTAGCAAGGAGAATGTCAATTTTGTGGAAATAAGTATATAAAAAGAGAACAAACATTCTGAAAGAAGACCTGAACCCACAGTTTAGCCGCCATATTAGTCATGTGATGTGCACTCACTTTACTGCTATCTGCTTCTAACATGGAAAAAATAAGACCAAATTGATTATTGGATGCATATATTCTTTGGGCTTTAGGAATTCATCTAGATTTCACTTCTGCACATCCATAGTTTCTTTCTACACTCCACATTTAAATAAATCTTATTTTACCCTTCATCAAACATATTTACATCCCAAACTTATTTTTGGATTAGGTCCTCTCGAATGTAATTCAGATTGACTATTTTATAATGTATTTTTAGAAAAATTAATCCAAAAATCTATTTTGTAACCAAATTTGCAATGTATTTTCAATACAACTAATCTAGACATATATTTTAGAATCCTCATTCTGGAATATATTTTTGGATTAACTAAATTTGTTTCGAATTAAGCAGTTTGGTTTACTATACTTATTTTTACTCCAGTTTTCATATATGTATAAAACATTAATAATTTCTTACTTTATAGGTTAAAAATAATCTTAAATGGAGGTGGAATTATAATAAAATAAAATTGTAGAACTATGAAAATTTATAAGAGATATGGAGGTGTAGAGGAACCTAAAAAGAAGAAGCTCTTAGGTTTCAAATAAAAATTAATAAAAGGTATTCCTATTATTTTACATGACTTATGGAAGTACATGATGAAACTATGGAGGTAAAAAAAAAAAAAACCTTCACTTTGGGTCTAACTTTTGAGTTTGGGACTACCTTAATATTGGCCCAATCCTACCATAGGGCCCAAAAGTAGCTGCTAATTTTTTTTTCTCTCTTTTTCACCATTTGATTTTACAAAATATATAGAAAATTACCACATTATCTACACTCTTTTTTTCATATTTGCCTCTTGTCTGTTACAAGTACATAATATAGATATGTTTTTTTTTATACGTAGCAAACTTCCCAACTATAAATTAAATCAGTAATTCATTCATTTAAAACAAAAAAAAAACCCTTTAATTTTTATATTTTTATTTTTAAATTTATAATTATCATAAATTTTATTCATGTTTTCAGTAAATATGTTACTTCAAAATAAAATTGTAGAGAAGATAAGTGTAAATTGATTAACAATGTAATAAATGTGAATGTCTAGTTAAAGAATGTTTATAAAAAATATACTGAAAATGTTGTCTATTTTCAAGTTAGAAAAATAGTAATATTATTTACCACATATAAAGTATAATTTTCTTAATTTAAAAAATATAATATAAAAATAAAATCAATGTCATTTTAAATATAATATCAATTAAATGTAGAGTATTTTAGGTCCGATATAATTAAATAGGTTAAAATTAGTTTAAACCTTGAATTTAGAATATTATTTAACTTGTATTTGAGTGTAGAGTGAATACTCTTTTGCTCATTTTATATATATATATATATATATATATATATATATATATATATATATATATATATATATATATTTATATCATTGTAATAAGAAAATTAGTTTCGAGGAATTATACAGACCCATATTTTTTAAGAAAGTCATATATATAATTTATAATTAAAATTTTAAAGATCTTTATTTTTTAATCGTGACCCGTCAGTCCCCACCATATATAATTTTTCACTTATATAATAATTAAATAGTATGAGTAATTAAAATTATTTATATTTTAGTTCAACAACAACAACAACGTGTGTGTTTTTTTGTTTGAGTTCAGAGTGAATGTCCCTCTAACACATTCTTTTACTTGTACATTTGTATTATATAATATTTTGCTAAAATAACATAATTCATTATTTTGTTAACAAAAATCTGTACCAACAGTATACAAAGTTTATATTATGGTTCAATAATAAATTATTATAGCATAACAAAATTATCAGGTAATAAATGTGCAGAACTTAATTATGTCCAACCTAAAAATTACACTAACAACATTTTTTAATTCATTGGCAATATATAACAATTTTTATATTGAATGTACATAATTACCAAAAAATTATTTTTATTCTAAAACTGTATTCTTTTAACCTATTTCCTCGGTTTAATATATGTTAGACTATAAATTAATCAATAAGCATTTAATTGATAAAGTTAATTGTAACACATAATAACTAGTTAGTTAACCATCATATAAATTTTTTATATAACATCAAAAATAGAAAAGACATTCAGAATTGGCTATTTTATATAAAAATATCATGTTGAGAATCTGATTACCAAAAGTTCTCTTGAAAAATAAAAATAAAAATTTGGAGACGTGAATATTTAGGTAGAAAATAGATTTAGATTATTTATTTACTATGAAATTAAAATATAACTTTTATTAAAACGGTCAAAATCTGTGACACAGTCTAGTCTAACTGATTGAATTTTTTTAGAAAAAATATTAATCTATTTATATAATATCAACTAATTAAAAAAATAAAAATAAAAATATATTTTAAAAATTTAAATTTTATTAATAAAATTAATTTTTATTTAAAATATAATAATTTAATATATATATATATATTATAAGATAATATATCTATTTAATATTAAAATAAGAATTAAAAATTTATTTATTTATTAATTTAAAATAATAATTAATTTTAATAATAACATCTTAAAATAAGTAATTATTAAAAATGTATTTTTAAAATAAATAAATCTTAATCAAATTAAATTATAATATATATATATATATATATATATATTTTTTTTTTAATAAAATATAAATAATATTATTTTTATTTTTAAAATATATATTATTCTATAAAATGATTCTACTTGTAATCTATCCTAAACCTATTTAGGCAATAATTTAGAACAAACCAAAATACACCTAATATAATTTATATCACCAAATTTTTTACTATTTATCGGGTACGTTCATCGATCCATCGAGCTTATTTTTTATATATTAAAATTTTCTCAAAATATCAATATTCTTGAAATTTTAGATTTATTATGAATTTGGTACTATAAAGGCAGGTTAAGGTGTATTAAGCTTGGGCGTTGTTCTCCAACTGTGGCGTCCAATTTGCTTTCTTCTCTTAGACACAGTCAAAGGTATGTAACTGTTATCCTGCACTATGTTCTGTTCTCTGATTGTTTCAGTTTGTCTATAATATGGTAGTTTAGCCAAACAATTGGAACAATCCATGTATGTGGATAGTTTGGTTAAGATTAACTCCTTAGATATGTTTTTTGTTTTTGTTTCCCTTTGTTTCTCTTCCTTTCCATCATATTCTGGATTCGAAATTGAAATATCTGATAAGATTGTTGAACGACCTGTGTGAGATTAATGTGTTTAACAATGCTTCTATTTTGAATGACTAGGCTATGTTTGGTTTTCAGTTGGAAGACCCTTAAGCTCAAAAAGTGGTTTCCAGTAAATTGAGTTCAGCCTCAATTTTGTCTTGAAACCAAGTTTGAAATGGAAGGAAGGGGAGAATTTTTTTTTATTTTTTCTATTGCATAATGAGTATATTCAAGCTTAAGTTTACAATTTAAATCCAAACAAGCACTTTTTGTGATATGAAGTTTGGACATGTTACCTCCCATTTCACCCCCTGCTCTTTCCGCCTACTGAGACATGCTCACATTAATCATGAAGCCCCTTCAAATAAACTGGCCTGGTTTCTAAGGCAGGTTAAAAGATACTGAATGTACATTATTTCCCCTTGATCTCTACAATGCTATGAAACCGTGGAGAAGGTGTGGGAGATTTTTTTATTGTTATGTCATTCATATTAGGAAATTATCAGTTATTTCTGTGGACAAACCAAAGCCCTCAATGGTTGAAAATGTTGTTCCCAAGGATCGTGTGTCAAATTTGCACCATCTTTTGCAGTTATGTGTAAAAACAAGATCATCCATGGGAGGAAGAGCATGCCACGCTCAGGTTATTCGTGTTGGCTGGGAAATGGACGTATTAACATCAAATATGTTGATTAACATGTATTCTAAATGTTCTTTAGTTGATAGTGCACGCAACAAATTCAATGAAATGCCTGTGAAAAGCTTAGTTTCATGGAATACCATGATTGGAGCACTAACCCAGAATGCCGAGGACCAGGATGAAGCTCTAACTCTTTTAATTCAAATGCAAAGAGAAGGAACACCATTCAATGAATTTACCATTTCTAGTGTTCTATGCCAGTGTGCCTTCAAATGTGCTATACTCGAGTGCATGCAGTTGCATGCTCTTTCAATTAAGGCTGCCATAGATTCAAATTGTTTTGTTGGAACTGCTTTACTCCATGTCTATGCTAAGTGCTCTTCAATAAAATATGCAAGTCAGATATTTGAGAATATGCCTGAAAAGAACGCTGTTACATGGAGTTCAATGATGGCTGGATATGTGCAGAATGGGTTTCATGAGGAGACCTTGTTACTGTTCCACAATGCTCAGTTAATGGGTTTCGAGCAGGACCCATTTATGATTTCATCTGCTGTTAGTGCTTGTGCAGGCCTGGCAACATTGGTTGAAGGGACGCAACTGCATACCATTACACATAAGTCTGGATTTGGGTCAAACATATACGCTGCTTCCTCCCTTATAGACATGTATGCCAAATGTGGCTGCATAAGAGAAGCATATCTTGTGTTTCAAGGTGTGGTGGAGGTTTGGAGCATTGTTTTATGGAATGCAATGATTTCTGGGTTTGCCAGACATGCTCATGCACCAGAGGCTATGATCTTATTCGAAAAAATGCAGCAGAGGGGCTTTTTTCCTGATGATGTAACATATGTATCTATACTAAATGCATGCAGTCATATGGGTTTACATGAAGAAGGACAGAAGTATTTTGATCTCATGGTCAGACAGCACAAACTTTCACCAAGTGTCTATCACTACTCGTGTATGATTGATATTCTTGGTCGAGCAGGAATGGTTCACAAGGCTTATGACTTAATAGAAAGAATGCCATTTGATGCAACTTGTTCTATGTGGGGTTCACTTTTAGCCTCGTGTAGAGTTTATGGCAATATTGAGCTTGCTGAGATTGCAGCCAAGCATCTGTTTGAAATGGAGCCTAATAATGCAGGAAACCACATCTTGCTTGCAAATATATATGCAGCTAATAAAAAGTGGGACGAAGTTGCGAGAGCAAGGAAGCTTCTCCGAGAGAGTGATCTGAAGAAGGAGAGAGGTACAAGTTGGATTGAAATTAAGAATAAAATTCATGCATTCACTGTTGGTGAGAGAAATCATCCACAAATCGATGAGATTTATACCAAGTTAGATGATTTGTTGGTAGAGTTGAAGAAGCTTAATTACACGGTTGATACCAATAATGACCTGCACGATATGGAAGAGAGTGGGAAACAGATGCTTTTGAGGCACCACAGTGAGAAGCTTGCTATTACCTTTGGATTGATGTGTTTGCCTGGTGGTATACCAATTAGGATTATAAAAAACCTCAGAATTTGTGGTGATTGCCACACCTTTATGAAACTTATGTCCAAGTTTACGAGCAGGGAGATTGTTGTTCGAGATACAAACCGTTTTCACCACTTTAAGGATGGATTATGTTCGTGTCGAGAATTTTGGTGAAGTTCTTACATATATTTCATTTTTAAGTCCAACTAGCAGGAGTTTTGATTGACTTTAGGGGAAGGTGTGGTGATTAAATGACTTTGGCAATCACCTATCCAAGGTTAATATTTTGCCTAGGAACATTTTTTCTGATACACATGGTTGATTTCAGTTTGTCGGAACCTATGTGTTTAGATCTACTTTTGACGCACTCTGATTCACGTCAAATTTGTTGAAGAATATAATAGTATTAGTTGTTTTGGTTCACCTTCACTGAATACCCAGCCGAAGACGAGTATCATAGTTGACTGGTGCTGTGAATACAATATCTCAATGCCAATATATGCGAAGTTGGTTGCTTGACAAATAGGAACACTGGAGCAAATGATGTGTAGTTGGTTATAAATGACTCATATGTACCATATTGGAAGAAAGAGTGATTATCAAACAATTATGATGCTCTTAACTTCTATTTGTGAATGTGTACTTTTTACTAATTTTCAAGTTAAAGTGTTTTAATAAGCACCGACTTCCTTTTTATTTTATTTACAAGCTTATAAACACAATTCTCATTATTTATTGTTACACAAAACCCACTTGTCCTTTTTTTTCTCTTATCCTGTAACACTTCTCAAGCGTAGCATCAAACATTTTTTAGGTACTGCGAACACCAAGGAAGTTATAATTTTATGACTGTAACACATTCTTTAACCACCTACAGATTCTTTTCTTTTTCCTTTCATATAGTTTTTATTAAAAGTAGTCGCGTATGGGAAGAAATTCAATCAATTAATTTGTATTATTAAATTTTAGACGTTGAAAAGTAGGTCGCAGAAAATTGTTATTTCATCAATACTGGCGACAATTAAGTTACGAATGTCTTCGTATAGTCTAATCCAATTGAAGATGAGGATATGACGTGTTATTAGATTAAATTTAAAATAGCTTTATATCATCGAACTAGTAAGTATTTAAAACATGAGGGTAAGACATGTTTTGAAATTGTCGAAGCTGAACTTTAAAAGCCTTTAGAGGAAAGCCAGAAAATAGATGTAATCCAAATTCAGAGTTTTCAAAGAAACGAGCTTCTGGATTTACTACAAGAGGAAATGCCTTATATATACAGTGACATTTTGATACTATACAAATTACAAAAATAATTCCGACAAAGGGGATTGTCGTTAGAAGCAGCAGATTTGAAGGTGCATCATCTTGGCGGCTACATCTTAATTCTTAATGAAGCTCAACAAAATTCTGCCACACGTAAACAACAAACCCAATAACTAACTACATTGCCAGATAAATACACGTATAAAGTTGTTTCGCAGTCTTCGATAGAAAGCATTTACAGTGTAAAATATATTGTCTGCAATATTAACTTTAATCGTTAGAAAAATTTTAGTCGAGTAAAAAATCTCAGTGCTCAGAACAAGATAAATTATTTCTCCTGCATCACAATTCACAAGCGATGATCTTTCCACACTCGTCTACCTTTGTTTCAACCATTTGAGTCATTAAAATGGAAATTGTCGAAAAGCTACTTTTTATTCCCATTTACGTTTTTTAATATTCATATCTATATCAATTTATTTTTTTTCATTCCTTAAGAGTACATGATCAATGATATTCTGAAAACATAAGCGAAACAAAACTATGAAAATTGAATAAATCTATTATAGCTAAGAGAGTGGATATTAAATTCTATCTCATTAAATCTGGTATTGGTGCATCACCGTTATATCAGTTGTCAAAGCTAAACTTATTCATTAATGTAGTATATATTAATAAATATTAGTGTAAATGTGAACCCATCATAAAGTGACTCGTCTAAGACCATAGCAATATGGGAGGTTTACAAACGGATAGAAATATTATAACATTCCAATTAGGCTAAACTTAAAATACAAAATCTATGCATACATACATACACAATAGGTGTCACGAAACAGCATACCTTTAACACAAAATCCCGTGTTAATTAAATCAATATGCTGTGCTACTGTGACTGAAGCTTCCGAGGCAGGAGAACTACAAAAGAATTCAACTAGTGGTTAGTTTCAGACAACAATATAAACAACTTCATAAATTTCAAGTGTTACCTTCTGCTATATTACAAAAACTTCGGTGAGGAAATATCGTTTCTGGGTCCATTTTCTGAGAAGTAACAATCAGAGACAGGCTATGCTTGCTGCATAAAGCAACCACATTCAATATTTCAGGTAAATAGACAAGCGAAAATTTCAATGAATTTTCTAATCATCAAGAATGAACATCACTAATCTGATTATTTAAAGGAAGTTATAGCAACGCATTTTCTTGGTGTCAACCGCTTACTGTCGTTAAAGCTTTTATTTTTTTATTTTCTTTCAGCTTAAAAAAAATGACCCACATGTACTACGAAGGGTTTCAAACCCCCAGACATCAAATTAAAAATGGCGCTCGAAAATATAGAGAAGTTACAAACCTTGCCCATGAAGGGATGAATTTATTATTTGGCATGTCATCCTCATCGTCGTCTTCATCGTCTGAACCTTTATAAGGAGAGATCTCGTACGATTGCTCTTGAAGTGTGTTTTTGATTATCAAGTCACCATCTTCATTGGCTTTAAATAAATTGACCATCACCTATAAAGATGTACATATAAATCTTCGATATTACAAAAGCGAGACAGCAAGTCCAAAATACAAATTTAAATATTTGAAATGTATGATTCACTACTACAAGCAGTCTGTCTCATACTGTCAGCATAAGTAGAACCTAAAGTTATTTCAAACATCAAAGCTAAAATAATTGGACATCGCTTAAAAACATTGGCACTATTTGACTGACTAGGAAATAAATATCATGTATTGTTTAGAATAGGACTTATTTCTACAGTGGGAAAATATTACTCCTAGCCTTGAACAAAAAAGTATGAAATCTTCCCTGATATCAATATTAAAGATGACATAGAAGAGGGCCACAGAAAAAAAATATATTACCTTTCCATTACTCGCAAAATCATTTGTAGACTCCGGATTTTCTTGACGCGATTCTTTTGCTTTATAATTTGCCGAATCCCTCATGGCCAAAGGTTCATTTTCAGAAATTTTCACCATATTGCATTCTCTTTTTTCTTGCGCTGGCAAATTCTTCTGATTTTCTCTTGCATCCATTAATTTCTTGTTTACTTGGACTTCTTCACCCTAGACCAGACAGCCCATGTATTAGTGTTTTCCTGAGAGAGGGAAAGAGAGAGAAAACGAGGGAATATTATTTTACCGTAGTTCGGCGTTGTATTTCTATCTCTTCCTTCTTTACTCGTATCTTCTCATGCTCTTGCATCTGCTTCTTCATGTCATTAACACGCTTCCTTTTCTTTTCTTTCTCCTTTTTTTCTTCATCTTCCCTTTGTCGCTTCTTTGTTGCCATTTGTTCCTCCTTTTTCTTTCGTTCTTCCTCTTTCTTTTTCTTCTGCAGCTCCAGCTCTAACTTTTCCCGCTGAAGTCGCAAAACTTCCTTCTTCATCTTGCGCTCGTTCTCTTTTTTGTCTGCCATACGCTTAGCAGCCTCAGCCACCTCCAGGGCCTTCACTTTGATGTCTCTCTTGCCTACATTCAAATAATTACATGACCATTTGTATGATCATGTCAAGATCAATGGTAGTCTACAAAAAAGGCAATCTTTATAATAGATAAGATGAATTACCTGTAACGACCGCTGCTGCTTGTTTTTGCTCCACTAATGGAATAAAGGAAGAAACGTTGGATACAATATTGTTAATGGGGCCTCGCTTCATACAATCCTTTCCAGATAGCTTTGACCTACCGGGCCTTTTGCAGGCTGATTCGGTGGTACTCTTGACACCATTTGCTCCAACAGATATATTCTGGTTCTCCTTCCCCTTTCTTGTGAATCTTTTCCTATTGCTATTCTCAAGCTTACTTCTCATCTTATTGCAAGTCCCGCTTAGATTAAACTCTGTGCTTACAACATCATCACACCCACCATCTAATACATCTTGGAAAACCGATGTAGAAGAGTTTGCATTGTCTACGATCTCAGCTAGTGGTTCTCTTTTATTTGAGCCAGCCATTCCTTCGGAATCAATACCCTTTTGGAATGTACTAGCAATCTCATCCACATTTTCATTTTCTTCAGTAATGCATGGAAGGTCCAGTTTTAAACTCTTACGCTTTCCTGAACTGCCAAAGTTTGAATTAATTCGATCCCAAAGGGTTTGAACTGATGAAGTATACTGACCCTTGCAATTTGGTTGGTAATCAGAAAGTGACCTTGGGCTCACATCGCTTAGAGGAAGGGAACTGCTAATACCTAAGCCCTCCAGAAGTCCATTAGGTAAAGACTGATAGAGCTCCGGTATGTTATGCGTCTTATATGATGTTAAGGAATTGCACAATGGAGAATGCATAAACCTAGATTTACCAAGCGATGTATTGTCTTTTGAGTTACTTGAAAGATTCGTCGTTTCCAATTCCATTTCATCTCCAGCAATGAAAGGCTGTGCATTATCTGTTTGAATAATGAACCCTTCAAACTCTGGTAAAGCCTCATCTGTACCAACCAAATCCAAGCATTGTATTCCTGGAGAAGCAGACATACCATTTGAGAATTTAGCATTTCCTTTTGGAAAAATTCTTCTAATGAAGCTGCTTTTTTCAACACAACTGACATGTTCTACACTTTCTTGTCCATAATTAACCTGATGATGCAACGACGCCACTTTCTCATCTATCGTGCATCTCATCGTTGAGAAAATACCAAAACCTGATGGATTTGTCACTGCCAACAGAAGGGTGTCCTCTTTTCTGTCTCTTCCGTCCCCAATAAGTTTCTGTCAACAGAAAGAACATTTAAACAGTCTATTCAGAAAGGTATACAAAATAGGCATTATTTACAGCCATAAATAAATCTACACACGTACTTCTGTATATTTACTTTCCTGTATGGTATGTTATTGCAAAATTTCCAGATAAGGTGTAGTTCTGGCAAAACAATGTTAGATTTATTAGATATTAAATAGAAATGGTACCTAGGTTCTAGAAGTATGCGTATTTATGAGCTGAAATTTTTATTTGTAACTAGTTTCTATAATAGGTCTTTTCATTTTCCCTTATGTCAGTGAACTTCCATTATAAGTAAGAGAACCTAAGAGAGGGAGTTCAAGCTCTCTATTTAAATATTTTTCCTTTTTTATGTTAAGAATGAGTGTTAACACAGGCCAAGCCACTGACAAATTAAGAGATCCAGTAAAACATCTCAGATATTGACGTCTAAATTTTAAAAATTAAATAGCAAAACATTTTTGTCTGAAATTTAGTTATTCACAATCCAGAAATTGTCACTATTCCAAAAATTCAACTTTTGTTTTTTATATTCGATTGAAGGTACGATAGTGCATGTTATAACAATGTTAAATGAAAAGAAAACACAGTAGAAGAACAACCAATCCTATCTTGGTTACATAGATCACACACTGCCATGGTATTCTATCTTACAAATAAAGATAGAAATTCCTATTCCACTTCTTAATTACAAGTAAAGAATCAAAGTCAAATTATATCAGGATAGGTTTATTTCTTATCTTGTCTCCCTCGTCATCCTCTTGGACAATCCTTTCTCACATAGACATTGTTGGAAATCTGGTTCGAATTTGGAAGAAAGTTGAAATTCATAATTTTCATTTTTTTGAAACAGAAATAATATCTAAAATAGCTTTGAAATGAACCGCGATCATTGAATACAATGAACTTGTTATGTCTACGCCAAAGCAATAATTGTGACGGTAAAGTTAAAAGATGTTAGCCAAGACTCTTTGACATACAATTTGATCATGAACGTTCTACATCAACTTTGCTATGCTAGTGCAAGGTGTAAAGGAAATTCATATTTAATATTTAATCCCCAAGAAAGAAATCTAATGCGCAGACTAGGCTTATTACAATCAAAATCCATATATATTTAATATTTTCAGAAAGTAAAACAAAATATTATTTACCTCTTCTTTGCTCTCTTTTGGTGGAGTCTCTTCCACAGTTTGGCATTCCCCCTTGTATTGCATTTCATTTGTTGGGCCGTTACTCATATACCAATGTCCTATATCCTCCCCTTGGTCAGATGTCAAATATTGAACTCCAACGGCAACCTCCGGGTTATCTTCAATAGTCAAGCTTCTACTTACAGGCCTTTGGTCAATAGGATCACGTGACTTTTCCAAGAGGTTTGAAGGGGCAGGTGAATTTTTATCCGTTTCAATTTCAATTTTCCTTCTTTTATGCTGCGGACATGAATGCCCTACATCATAAGTAAAACTTCTGAAAAGCTGGAAGTCAGCTGAAAAACTGGTAATTTTTCCATCGCTGAGCAATGTCTGCCGCAACAAGTCACCATCTTGACTTAAGGTCATGCCATATGGGGCCTGTTGTACCAAACTAACATTCACATCATCCATAGGAGCAGAAAATGGGAACCTAACCGTGAAATTTGTAACATTTTCATCTGTGGATTTTTGCAGATTATTTCCGGTAACTGCTTCAGAGGAAGAATCTGCCAACATAGCACTACTTTCACCATTTTTTACTTCACTGTTCACTGAAAAAAATTTGGGTGGCATGTCTTCTTTTGACAAACTTCTTATTGAATTTTCACCAGCAACTAGTGAAGGACTTGCATGATTCAGCAAGGAAGAAGTAACAACACAGAATTCATTCTGAACCATAGGTATCTCTTTGTTTGGTGACCCGGCACTTAGTGTTGCCCTAGCTATGTCTTCCTCCTCAATGTGGCTTGCACAGTATTCTATATGTGGCCCCTCTTTTCTGGTCAGTACTTCCTGCGTTTGCAGCAAAGGCATTTCCCTGGAAGAGTTGTGCTTACTTTCACATACAGGAGAAATTTCCTCTTCATGTAAATTCAAAGGTTGCAACGAGTTCAAATGTTCTTCTGGTGACACTCCCTGTTGTCCCTCTTTCATATCAGGACTACGGATTCCACTCATACTTGTCTCTTCAACATCATCAAAATTAAGTTGCTTTGGTTTCACAGACATAGGGCTAACACAAGAAGTATCTTTTTCAACTAATCCATCAAAGTCATCATCAACTTCGCCAACAATTCCAGGAGACCTGTGCTGAACATTATCATTAGGGATGGCACCAGATGGTATGTTTTCCTGGGCATCGAAGACTTTTTCATCCACCACTGTTTCACCGTATACTGATCCTGCAAGTAAAGACCCACCATCTAAATTGGAAGAGCTCACTGGCCTGAATGATCCTTCATTTGAACAAGTAGTCACACCCCTTGTCTTTGCAGAAGCATCCATTGCTGCAACGTTCTCCTTCTCTGCAAAATTCCTGTCAATTTCTATATCTAATTTGGAATACTTTGGACTTGTAGATAACCTTCTAACATCCAGCTCGGTAAGCTGTGCATTCCAAGACTTCTTACCAGCAGATTTAGAGCAAGCAACACTTTGTGCACAGATATTGGATCTGGAAGACTTCAATACTTCTTCAACCTTTCCAGAACCACTTCTACTTGAACATCCTCTTTTTACTGCAGAAAAGTCGGGATCTTTTTGACGACAGAAGGACCCAACAAAAGGCACTACAGGATCCTGTGAAATTAAGGGTTGAGGATATGGCGTTGATTTATCAATAGACTTTACAGAACCACCAGTCATCAAAAGATGATGCCCCGGTGATGGGCAGGAACTTTGATGTAAGTTTATCATACCATGAATGTTCCTTTTTTGTTTGTTGATGCAGGAGTTGCCTTCTTTAACTGCATTTACCCCACTTCCATTGGTAGAATCAGAGACTTTGCTAACATCTGTTGGGCCAGCATCTGTAAACGGTTGCATAAGATCACAGATTTCAACTCCTTTACCACTGCCCAAGGTGCTGTCAAGCTTCAACAATACACTGTTACATCTGGTGGCCTGGCTAGAACTTCTAGATTTTGTTAACCTCTCATCGTACACACTTTTTTTATATGCTTCATTGACGCCAAAACTTCCATTTACAAAACAAGGTTGGTTGACTATCTCCAACGACTCATTCAAATTATCCGGCGGAGGACCATCTTCCGTTGCTACAGAAGAACTATCAACATTCAAATAGTTGAATTTCTTCTGAGACGAGCTTTTAGATTTCATTATCTGGCCAGAGCAATTAGTTACACCAACACGCGGTTCCATTTCTTCCATGGAACAACTTTGGATATTGGAATGAAAATCTTTAACCACATCTGACTCCATCACATGTGCTTCCCGTTGAGCCAAGGGTGCAGCACCTGTAACTGTGCCAGCACAGAAAACAGCATCATCACCATGGTTCTCTGCCAATCGTGTGTGTGCTTTTGCACTATTACGTAGCTCCAGAGCCTTCTGCCTCGACCTTGACCTTTGCAACTTTGCCAGAGACAGAGCTGGGTCGTGGTGAATGTCCAAGGCTCTTGCTTCAATCTGATTCTGGGGTGGTGATACAGCACCTGAATCCAATTCCGGAGTACCACTTGATTCACATATGACATTGTTGACGGAGCAATCTGGCAAAGTATAAGCCCCATCTCCCGCGTTACACTCCTTTTCTAAGGCACGACGTTCATTACGCAAACCAACTGGATATTGAACACCATAGGATACAGAATCCAGATTACTGAATACACAAGGGAAAGGAACTCTATATTGCGGTTTCGAAAGTAGAACATCAGAAACGAGGTCATCTTTGTTTAACTCTGCCGATAAAGTAAACGTTATCACCAAATTAGCACATACATAAGTACAATAGAAATGCTAATATAAACTATTTCTACCAAAAATCGTATCTAACCTAGTAAATAAAAGGATATTATGGTCTCTCAAGGTCATTATAATAATGCGAAGCAACAAATCAGCGAGACACATCCGAACATGTAAATTTCAAAAGTCGAAAACCTAGACCGTAACCGTGAGCAAGCGAGTGAGGTATATATATATATATATATATATATATAGAGAGAGAGAGAGAGAGAGAGAGGTTTGTTACCTTGAGGATCACCGTGAAGGGAAGAGTTGCAGAGCCACGGAGGAGGAGGAATTCCATTGAGAAGGAGTTTGGGGTAAAGGTGGTGCTCCCAGAGATGGCACTGTTGGCGCGACTGCTCGATTATTCTCTTCTTCCGCTCGAAGATCTGCACGACCGGCTTCTCCCTCGCCGACATTTCTTCTTCGCTTTCACATCGATGAAGAACGTGGTTTTGGCGCTGTGTACAATTCAAATTTGGAGATCCTTCGATTGGATTGGAAATGCATTCATTCTTTCAAACCCCATTTTCCATATTTCAAATTGTGTTTTTTGCTTAGCCTCATGTTTTGGGCTCATTTAGACTTTACAGTTTCGGCCCACATGATACAATGGACTAACTTGCTGACCCAAATAAAACCTCAGTCCCCCTGCTAAATTATAATATTTAATATTTATCATAATTTTATAATTCTATCTATAAATACGACAGAAGAAAAATAGATAGAAGACAATTTTTTAGATTCATAAAAATATACTTATTATTTTATGTAACTATCCACATATTAATGATTTATTTATCTACAATTTGATAATGGTTTCTTAAAGAAAAAAAAACCCAGTAAGGGTAGATCAGTTTCAATTATAATGAAGAATTTTATAAAATTAATTCATGTTAAATTTATTATGCATTCATTCATACACAAGGATATTGATTTGTTCATCTTTATTCGGCTTTTATATATATAGAAAGAGAGAAGGTATTTTCACATCAATAACACCCGTGATCCATTATAGTCAGTCATATGGGGCATCTTCGGCCCAACAATATATACATCTTGAATCATTTTTTAACTGGATAAATATTAAAATTTCGTATGCTATGATTAAATCATGTAATGACATGACATTCTTATATGAACGAAAGGAAAAAAAATAAAAAATAGTGACATCGGTTATTGAAATATTTTAGGATGACAAAACTTGTGAGTCATATAGCACGTAAAAATAAGATGAGAAAGTTGGTCTGTAGTCAGATGAGTTACAATCAGATGCGAAGGTTGGTCTGTTGTAGTCAGATGAGTTACAATTCCTAATTTAGTCTGTTAGAGGTGGGTTGTGAGAACAACTCGTACAGTAATTTTTTTTACATTTATATATATATATTTTTTAATATATTTTAAATTTTATATATTAATAATATTTTTATTAAATAAATTGAAAATATATTATATTTATGTATTAAATAATTAATTATAATATATTTATATATTTCAATAATATATATAAACAAATATAATATTTTAATTATTTTTTATTTTCATTTTAATATATAATTATTATTTTAAAATAAAATATTTTAAAAATATAAAACAAAATCAATTAAAATTATCAATCCACCCGTCACGAGTTCAGTCCAATCAAACTTAATCTATTAAGAAGAAATATAGAATGAATTGACAAGTAAAATATTAAAAAAAATATATATATATATATATATATTTTTTTTATTTATTTTTTTTATGTCCCCTGTCTTTTATTACATGCTTAAGCAATTTTAAATTTTTCAGTAACTTATAAAGTTTGTCCTTAGTTCTTCTTAACTTTATTATTTGTTGTCTTCGTAAAATTAGTCATATATGTCATTCATTACGAGACGACGTAACCAATTACATGTATATTTTTTATTCATTTAAATAAGTTTTTGTTCTCTAATAAATTTGTGAATGTTGTTTTCATCCTTAATAAAAAAAAATGGTTCAATTTTTTTTTATCCTATTATTTTGGCAGTTTATAAATGATAAATTGTTTGTTAACGTTATATGCTGAAAATATTAACACGTGTATTTTTAAAATGTTACTTCTTTTAAAAAAAAAAAGGTTAAATATTATAAAAAAAAATGTATACCTTTTTAATGTTTATCATCTTTGAGTTTCATTAATGAATGTAGTATTTACACTTTTCTTATTATAAATAATTTGTATTATTATAAAAAAATAATGTGTATAAAAATAAATACTATAAATTATTACAAACTAAAATCTTATTTAAAAGAATACATATTTTTTTATTAATTTAATCACTGATGTGATCACTTAACGAATAATTTATTATTTAATAAAAATACTAAACAAACAACTTTTTATTTAAAGATAATATAATAATACTAAAGGATAGAAATTTGAAAAATATAAATTTAATATAAACTAAGATGAAAAAAATAAAGTTAAAAATCAATGACAAAATTTATAAATTCAAACATATATAAAAAACACTTAAGCATTCATTATATCTTATTATTATTGTTAGCAAGGAACCTTCGAGATCCTTTGATTAATATAATTAGGAATAATTAACTTGTTATATTTTATGAAAAGAGTTTGATTTAGAATAATTAACTTGACATTTAATATATTAGTTACTCACAATTATCAAAACGAAGTGACAGCTCATAGGTGATTAAAGGTATAATTAAATTCTTCATTGTACAACCTAAATAACATTTTACACTTATTAAACGGAGGTTAGCATAGGTGTTTTATATGGAAATATATCTAATGACTTTATTAATTATCTTTAATAACCATTCAAATTTAAATAATTTAAAATTATTGAATTAGTTATTCATTTAATCAATATACATAATAACATGATTCGACCATTATGTTAGTATGAATATGGGATACAATTGTTTATAAATTTTGGATTTGAAAGTACATAATAAAAATACTTATATTAATGTATTTATATTATAAAAATGAGGAAAACACATGTATTATAGCGCAATTATTTTATAAGTTTTTTAATTAAAAATGTCTATAATTACTTAAAATCTTATATCATAACTTAGTTCTAAATCCATCATAATAAATACAGTATACAATTTATATATTTAATAATATTATTTATTATAAGATTTAATCGTATAAAATAAAATTTTATTCTTTTAGAATATACAAGTAAAGCAAAAATAAATATGTATACTCAAATAATAAATTAAAAATTATACAATTTAAAAATAAAATATTTTTTTAGTACACTGTTAATTTAACTACTGTAATAATTCTAAATATTATGACTTGATAATAAAACAATATTTTATTTAATATTATAAACTTTTTAATTAAAATTGAATACATACACAGTTTTACAGAATTAATCATAGAACATAATTTTTTATTTCGTTACATATAAATTTATTAAATTATATATTTATTAAAATAATAAATTAATATTTTTTCACTAGAAATCTAATTATTCATTTAACCTAAACTATATTAAAATTGTTTTTGATTAAAAAAATCAATTCTCTCTGAAATTATTGAATTTATTTTAATATACAATAATTAATGGTGTCGGTTAACTGCAATATTTTCCATTTATTTTATAATAAATGTGGGGTAATTTTTTATATCAGTTTTAATAAAAACATTTTAAATAATTATTGATACTTGATAATTTATGACTGGGTAAGAGTATAAAATTATTTTATTTTTCAGTTTTTTTATTTTATTTTTTCTTTAACTTTAGTAGAGTATTAATTAAATATAAATACATAACAATAAAAGTGTCAGGTATAAATAATTGTATATGAAATTAAATATGTCATTAATTATTTTTTATGATCAATTAATATAATTTCATATTTTTATCTGTCTGTATATGAAAATGTTTTAAGGCGTTTCTTTTGTTCAAAATTTGAATTTGGTTTTCATTTTAAATCTTCACATGACACGAATTTCTATCTTTCATGTTATTTTGTTATATTTTTGTTAGAGCCATTCATCTTAAAATGTTTTTAAATTAATTTGTACTGTGTTTTACATTAGGATTTGTGGAAAGCTAGATGAGTCGTTATTTTAATCAATTTAACAGGGGGAAATATTTGAGTATTTAATTTAAATGAATTTATAACGTTAACATTTTCTATTTAACTACAAACTATAATTTCGTAATATTTTTGTAAAGAAAACTTTAAGATTATTGCTAATTAATTAATAATAAAAATAAACACACTAACGAAGTATCAAAATCAAACATAAATGTTTTCATGTATTTATTAAGAAAAAGATAAAATATATTTTTCGTGTTTAAAAAAAATTAAAGTTACTTTTTTTTTCATCATGTTAACCATCTTTAACCTCTCTAGTTTTGAAATGCACTACTCTATTTTACAAAATTTTATCCAAATTAGTCTTTCTATCTAAATCACTTCGAGGAACGTTGTGTATTTTTATTTTTTTAAAAAGGATTAATAATAACTTTTGAAAATAAAAAATAAAAAACATATTTCAGACTAGAAATATTAATCGTCACTGGATTTTTATTTTTCATTTTACTAATAAACACTTTTGAATAAATCACTTTCTGAGGACTTAACTTTTTTAAGTGAAATGAATAAAAATATACAAACTATTCTCGGTTACTTGTAGACAAACGTGAAACTAATTAATGCACAGATTAAAACTAAGCATGTACTTGACGTGGTCCAAATTCATGTTTAGTATATATATGTATATATGCTCACAAAATTTTAACCATCGTTCACTTCAGTATATCACAATGGATATTCCTAAGGTATGCTCATTCAAAAAATAGGAAAATGCTTGTTAGGAGAATTTTTACTTCTTCTTAGTTTCATGTTTTGTGATTTAAATTTCTTGTTTAATTTAATAAATTGAGATATGTTCATGATAAGTGTTTGTGTTTTACGATATTTGTGTGTATTTGATGTGTTGTTTCATGTTGTTGGTTGATGAAAAGGTTGGAGCAGCATCAAAGGAAATAAAGAAAAGAAGCTTGAGTGAAATTGGGATAAATGAGTATGAAGGTTGTGCAGAGGTTGATTTAGAACTGACACTGTCACTGCCAGGATCAAGTTCTGGTAATTTAGCCCTAAAATGGGTCACTTCAAGGACTCCATTGTCATCATCATCATCTCAGGGACCATGCTTGTCTTCCAAAATGGACACTGATCATAAGAATGTTGATGAGTTACCACCATTGATAGCAATGGGATGTGCTCCTTGTTTAATTTATGTGATGGTATCCAAAGCTCACCCTAGATGCCCAATTTGCTCAAATTCTAATTTGATTAACAAGTTTCAAGTGAATTCTACAAAGAAACTAAGGACAAGTTGGTATTAATTAGTCTTTTTTTTTTTTTTCCTATTAGAAGTTAATATCTTTTAACTTTCATGAGTATCAATTGTCATTTTGACAATATTTTCAGTTCCATAGCACATTGGCAAGAAGAATCAATATAGACAAGTTTGCTTTCACAGTTTTTTTTGTTTTCTTCTCTTGTTGGTTACTTTTGCTTATATATATATATATATATATATATATATATATATATATATATATATATATATATATATATATTTACAATTCATCTTAGAAATTAGTAGATCCTCTTGATAAGAGAAAGTAAAAAAAAAAAAAGACACAAAAGTAAATAAAACTATTATTATTATTATTATTATTATTATTATATTAATAGAAGATATGGTGAAATGGTTACCAAGAGAAAAAAAAGTTTGATTTTTCTGCATTTTCTTTCATTATTAGTGAAAAATGGTTTGTCACGCTTTCTCTTATGCTGCATAAATTAATTATTTTCAGTCAAAAATCATTAAATAATGTCATACATTAGTAATAAAGCATTAAATTTGGTTTTCTATATAGCCTGTTATTTAATAGAAATTAATTAATTAACATTACTGTTGTAAACTCATTAAAAGTATGCGTCATTCTAACGAGTAAATATATTATTTGAAAATATTGATATTTTATAATTAATTATATTATAATTTAATGCCTCATATCACTAATGTAGAATCATGACATCTATAATGAAAATATTTTTAATTTTCCATTAAATAATTGCTACACAAGTGAAGATAATACCGACATCTCCTATTTTATTTTTCATTATACGTTTTTACAGTAAATATTCCTACGTTTTAGTATACAAAATGCTATAAAATAAAATTTAGGTTGAGCATAATACAATACATAAGCAGACGAAAACTCGAGTAAGAGTAATTCAATAATTAAATTATAAATGTTTAATTTGAATCCAATACAAATATACTGGTGAATTTTCTACATCTTATTTAACGAAAAATGTTAACCATTATAATTATTATTCTTCGTATATGAGTGAAGGTAATTTATATTTTTTTCTTTAAATTTATCGAGTATTTTGTAAAGATAAAATTATAATAGATGAAAGTTTTAAAATAAACAATATTTTAAACATAAAAATTAACACTTATTCTGAATAGAGATCATAATACTCTTAATTTATTAAAACATTAATATTTATTATAAAGTTAAGAGTAAAGTCTTACTCTAATGATATTAGTCTTATTCTAACATACTTATAAGATTCATCTTATTTAAAAGTCAAAATTAATAAAATTTAAAATACATAATTTTTTTAAAATAAACAGTACCTCTTACTACCAAAACTCTAAATACTTATTCGTAACAATTATTAAAAAAAAACGTGTAAAATAATTTTTAACTAAGGTACTGTATTAAAATATTCTCGATGAAAATAAATAAAATATAAATAGTATATGTCCTGCTGTATAATATTTTTACACTTTTATTCAATTATCTTAAAAGTCATAAAAACAATTATCTTTGGTCGGTTAATATAAGTTAATAGTCCATGCTCATTTAATTCATCTATCACTATTTTATTATGCTAAAAAATGCTATTAATGCCACAGTAACATTATTATTAACTTTTTTATATGAAAATACCGTTATAAACAGCAGTGACATGAAATAATAATTAATGTGAACCTTGTTATTAAATTAATGTCATTTAATACTGATTTCCTATACAAGAAAAATAAATAATATATGATACACTATTATTTCATATAAAATATAATATTTATCAAATTAATAATTAAATATGAAAATAGTTATTCAAATTGTAATATAGTTATTAACTTCTAGTAAGATACTTGAGTTATAACATATATATATATATATATATATATATATATATATATATATATATATTGTTTTACGTGAAAAAAAATGAAATGAAAAAAAAAATCTTTAATAATAAAAATATAATTAGCTTTAATCATTAAAAGCATATGTATAACGTTAATTTATAATTCTATTAAAAAAACGGTTGTTTTTTTGTAATAGAATCTAAATTCAACAGTAGAACCAATTCATTATGAGTTGTATTTGAATTTCAAACTTCACCGTATAATAAATGAAGGAAAATTTAATAAAGGCTGGAATAAAATATATTTATAGTTTTTCAATATAATTTTTCTTTAGATTCTCACAAACGTTAATTCTCTAAAAAGTATAAATATGTTTTTGGTCTTTAAAAAATATTATAGAAAAATTAGTTGTATAAAATAATATTAAACTATTTTCGTTGATACTAATAGTATTATTGTTTTGTTTGTATGATAAAAAGAAAATAGATTTGAAATAATATTTTACAAATAAAATCTCTTTTTTTTAACAGTGAAATTGTTTGAATGAATAAAAGAATTATAAATATTGACTTAAATTATATTTTCTCATTACAATATAAAATTTACTTGATGAAAATGATTTATTGGCTTACCAAAATGTCAGACAAATCATCACTTTTTATGGTTACTTCTTGTCCATGCCTTGAATGTTTGTAGTCAATTCCATAATCATATTTTTTGAAAGTTTTCTCGGTGGCAGAAGAAACAGTGCCAGCGTTGTTTCTATAATAACTCTAACCTTTTATTATAAAATTTATTGTAAAATAATATATTTTATTCTTAACAATGTGAGTTTTTATATATTATATTTATTTTTAGATAAAAATGATATTTTTTTAAACCAATGTTTAAGATATTCTTTATCTAAACTTTAAGAAGTTTTCAGGATTTTTTCTTATTTAAAATATCCCATTGATTAAAAATCCTAAATTTAAACATAGAGATGGAAGTCAAAGTCGCACAATTTAATGTTAAATTTCAATATAATTGTCACTTTAATTATAAAGAAAAACCATAACATGCATACTTCTAGGCTATATATCGATACCGTGGTCACTTAATGAAGAGAAAAATCTCTTACGAGCAACTGCATGAGTAGTCCAACACATGACGGGCATTTGAAGACAAAAGTCTAATTGCAATCATCAAGTCAAAATATATGATTGTATAAATAATTCCATAATCCTTAATAAAAGACGAAAAACTTTTAAAAGATATAATAGATTAAAGTTTATGAAAAAAAATTGTTTATCATATTGTTAGTAGGAAATCGATAAAGAGATCGAAAAGCGAAGGAAAGAAAAAATCGAGGATTATATGATTGGTTAAAAAACTGATAAAGTGAAAAGATGGTTGGAAAACATTCGATGACCATGTAACAGTATGGACACATAAATCGAGAATTAGAATCGAGAATTGAAGGAGAAATATTTAATGTCTATTGTTGAAGAAAATCGAGGAATTAGAATCATGTAATGTTAAGGTTAAGGGGAATCAAAAAAGCAATGCAAAGTTCTCGAGATTTTGAAATCGAAATCGAGAGAAAAGTTAACATGCTCGGCCGTCGAAATTCTGGCTAAGTTAGAAAGAGAGGAACACAGTTAACGCGCACATAGAACATGGGAAGCGGTTTCTAAACCGTGGCAGAGATCGAAGGTCAAGGGAGCGGTTATCTCATGCATGGGAACGTGAAATACAGTTTTCTAAACCGTAGAACTGAGGGACGTGCATGATGGATCGTGGTGGCAGTTTTGTTAACTACTCTTAGGAGGTTACTTGAAAGACGCTCTATAAATAGAGCAAAGAATGAAGGAAAGGGGGAAATTGGCAGAGAGAACTGAAACACTAGTGAAAAAGTCTACCGGAGAACGACGAAATCATGAAGTTTCTGGCGATCTGGATTTCCATTTTCATTGACTGTCTTTACCGCTTTTTGTACTTTCCCTGGTAATTTATGTTTATGCAATTTATTTTGATGCAGTTTACGTTTAGCAACTTTAAGTTTCTGCATTTTCAATTCCTTGTCACATACTTCTATGCAAGTTAAGGTTATGCGTTTAAGAACCTCGCCATTTACATTTCTGCAATTTCGATTTCCCGTTCTTTACTTTCTTGCAATTTCGATTCTTTGCCCTTTTACACTTAATGCAATTTTGAGGTTTCCGCACTTTACATTTTTTTTTTGCAATTTAACATTCTGTACTATCTTTCGATTCGATATTTTACTATTTTCTTTACTTCGCGTCTCTTAATAAAAAATACAAAAAATAGTACTTTCAATTTACATACTAATTTGTGTTGTTTACATTCTCATGCATTTTTCGATTGAAAACCAATTGCTAGCCTAAACAAAAAGAATCTACGTGGTTAAAATTTGGTTAGAACCTAAGTCTAGATTTAATCGAAATCGATCAAATTTTCACCAGAAACAAATTGGCGCGCCAGGTAGGGGAATATTGTGTATTATACACAAAGTCTGGCTAGTTCGATGAGTGTATGAAACTAAGGAATGAACGAGTAGTAAGAATGAGTCAAAATTCACCAAATAGTCAGGGTAATAGTGAGATTCCTAATAGTCTGAGTCCACCAAACACTGGGGGGCAAATTCACAATGGGAGTATGTCTGTAGTATCAACAACTGGGAGTACATCGATGCCTGTGAGTAATGAACAAAACTCAGGCCCATTAGCAAATACTCAGTTAGGGTCTAGTATTGTAATGTCAAACAATATGCAAACTACGGGAAACCCCGTAACAACATATGCAGGGTCATATATGAGTGTAAGGCCGCCTGGGTTTTCGTTTAATAATATGAATGAGACCGGTATTTCTTCGATACAACGGAGTACGAGAGTTAACCTAGGAATGCCCCAAAACTCGGGAATGTTTCAAACCTTAGGTATGCCTCAAAATTTTGGAGTATCCCTAAACTTAGGGATGTCCCAAAATTTAGTAACACCCCAGAATTTAGGGAATGCTCAGAATCTAGGAACACAACAGACACCTCCAAATCTAGATCACAAGCAAATCTGGATCATGGGAGATATACATTCGATAGAGATTATCATCGATCCAATTTTGAGATTATCGAAAACGCTAGTACTGGAATCTCCAATAACTCATTAGGAGTACATAGACAACAAATGGATGAAAGCAATTTCAAAATGGTTAATATGTTATCACAATAGTTGACTACAGTCTTAAACCCATTAGTTCAAAATACTACTACTAACTTTGAGATATTAGCAGACCAAATAGCACGTATCGGGGATGCATTGGCTATACCTCGACAAACAAGAGTAGAAAATCATGCCAATCAGAACCTTAACCAGAATGATAATATCAATCCCCCTTATTTATTAAGGAGAAATCGAAACAATGATCAACATCAGCACATGGGGAATGAATATCA